TCCGGTGGTGCCACGTGCCCCAACAGAGGGTTAAGTCTGCCGGCAGTGGAAGAAAACATATCATTGTGTGTCATATTTGCATGGTAGAGAGAGAAGCTCTAGGAAGAAGAGGAAGAAGTTCTTAGAGTGTGAATAGATTTCCAAGCTTGATCCTTAGAGTTTGAACCGTTGGATACGTGTTTTGAGGTTAGATTCTTGTTTTGCTCTTGTTGTTCCTTATGTTCATCTAACTACATTGTATGATCTAGACTTCTTCAACCTTTGTCAATTCCCGAGTGGAAATGGGAACACATTTCCATGGATTTTGTGGTTGGTTTGCCGAGGACACAGAGGGGTATGGATTCAATTTGGGTTGTAGTTGATAGATTAACTAAGTCAGCACACTTCTTGCCTATTAAGACTACCTTTAATGCCAATCAACTCGCTTTGTTGTATATGAATGAGATCATCATACTTCATGGAGTATCGATGTCCATTGTGTCAGACCGAGATCCGAAGTTTATTTCTAGATTTTGGCAGAGTCTACAAGGAGCTTTGGGAACCGAGTTGAGGTTTAGCATAGCTTTTCATCCCCAAACCGATGGACAAACGGAGAGAACAATTTAGACGCTTGAAGACATGCTTAGACTATGTGTATTGGATTTTAAGGGAAGTTGGGAAGTGCATTTGTCACTAGTAGAATTCGCCTACAACAACAGTTATCAAGCTAGCATTGGCATAGCGTCGTATGAAGCTCTGTATGGAGGGAAGTGCAGATCACCGATATGTTGGACCGAAGTAGGAGACAAAGCTTTAATTAGTCCCGAACTGATTCAAGTGACAACTGAGAAGATTAAACTTATCCGACAAAGAATTAGGACTGCTCAAAGTCGACAGAAGAGTTACGCCGACCAGAGGAGAAGAGAGTTAGAATTTGAAGTTGGGGATCATGTATTCTTGAAGATTTCGCCGATGAAGGGAGTTTCAAGATTTGGGAAGAAAGGTAAATTGGCACCTCGTTATATTGAGCCGTTTAAAATCCTTGAAAGAGTTAACCCAGTTGCTTACAGACTTGCTTTGCTGCCAGAATTAAGTCAAGTCCACAATGTGTTTTACATTTCGATGTTGAGGAAGTATATTCGAGATCCATTACATATAATTGATCATTTCAGGATTGCGATTAATGAAGATTTGGGTTACGAAGAGAAGCCGATATGAATTCTTGATAGACAAGTGAAGCAGTTGAGGAACAAGTCAATACCGATGGTGAAAGTTGAATAGAAAGAACATTATGGCAAGGATGCTACATGGGAAATGGAAGAAGAAATGAAAATCCAACATCCGGAGTTGTTTTCAAGGCAAGGTAACATAAGTTTGGGGACCGAACTTCTTTAAGGAGGATAGACTGTAGTGACCCTCATCCTCGTCTTAGTCATGTTCATGTGCATCTGCAGGTTTTGTTTTGTTAAGCTTGCACTTGTGGTGTTGACTTGTTTTGCCTAAAGTAAGGTTCCTGTCTTGTTTTGTACCTAAGTGTTTTGGCTTGAGTATTGTTTGTACGTCTTGTCCCTTGCTTGGTGTGTGTGTAGCCGAGGTCGTCTTAAGCCTAGGTCACGCCTTTGGACCTTTCACACCTAGGACCATCTTGGAACTACTTTGGCTGACTTCCACCTTCACCCTGGCATATTGGCCGAGATGTCATCATCTAGGCCGAGGTGTGCATCACCTAGGCCGAGATGTTATCATCTAGGCATCCTAGATCTTTGATCCTTGCACTTAGCGATCTTGTTCCGGGACTGGAATGACCTAGACCGAGGTGTGGCACGTCTAGGCCGAGGTATGGCACAGCTAGGCCAAGTGTTATCCTTCCTAGCTGAGATCATTGAGACCTTACTTGCCGAAGCCTATGTCTTGACTAGAGGTCATTACCTGCCGGGGTACCCATGTCACCTTACTTGTTATACACACTTTGTCATGCACTTGTCTTATCATTCTGTCAACTTTTTGAGGAAACCCAATTCGACAGCGCCACGTGTCCCAGTAGAGGTTTAAGTTAGGTGCTAGCTGAGAAACCCATATCACTTTGTCATATCCTAGCCTTGTAGAGAGAGAAGCTCTAGAAAGAGAGGAAGAAGGGTTCTTAGAGGGAGAATAGATTTCCAAGCTTGATCCTTAGAGTTTGAACCGATGGATTCGTGTTTTGAGGTTAGATTCTTGTTTTGCTCTTGTTGTTCTTTATGTTCATCTAACTACATTGCATGATCTAGCATGATTCATGAGCCATGCATTGCTTTGAAATTCAGTTTTAGAAAGAGAAAATGATGTTCTTGTGTTCTTGAAAGAAAACCATGTTTTGATCCGAAAGTTTGTATCAAGATCTATGTTTTTGTGTTTGTTTTCATAAGTTCTTCAAGTATGGGTACCCAGGTCCATGTTTTCGAACTCATCTCATGAAATCTCAGATTTTGAATAACGAAGTTATGATTTTAGCATTCATGTTCTTTATGTTCTTCATGTTCATGCTCTTCATGTGCTTCAAGGAAGGAAATCCATATTTCCAGACTTCACCTTTCCCTAAGTGTGGTCACCGAGACCACTCTTGCCTAGATCTCACACTTAGGCCAAGCACCATATCTCACCTTGGCCTACCTTGCATGATCACTTGCACTATTAGTCTATATTGCATGAACACCTCGGCAGACAGCCGTTCGCCGAAGCCTTGGTAACCACACCTCGGCCAAGAGGTGTGGGACCTCGGCAAAGACTTGGTTGGTACCCAGCATGTTTTCCCCGAGATGAAAAATAGTGTTTTAACTTCCAGCATGTTTTGCTTTGACTTGACCTAGTCTTGAAGGAAATGTCTGGATCATTTGCATTCATGTAAGGCTTGTCTTGAGAGTGCATTTCATATCCATCTTTGAGCATTCTTTCTTGTCTTCTTGAAGTGCATTCAATAGACTTTGCCATGTGTTTGTAGGACTTGGACCCTTGCTTTAACCCCGACATCTGAAGAGCTATGTGAGTGATATTTTTAATAAAGCTATGTTATAAAGTTTTGATAAAGCTTTGCTTCGTTTTAGAAAAGTATTTGATCAAGCATGAATGATTATTCCTAGTTTTTGTATCAAGTATTATATTTGTTTTGATGACATTCTTGGAAAGTCCTTAGTGCTAGGGGACTATAATGCAACTAGTACCCTTGTTTTGAAAGTCCTTAGTGCTAGGGGACTATAATGCAACTAGCACCCTTGTTTGAGATATCTCCTTTGTTTTGCCACTGACGGTTTACCGCGTGGGTTTGTCTGGAATGTCATCGTTTGGTATTATGTAGATGTTATTAACATCCAAGAAGCTTTGAAAGATTTGATAGATGAACTTGGTTCATCCCTTTGATTTGTAAAGTTACAATATGTATTGTTTTGGAAAAGATTTCGGATATCATTCATTCAAACCTTTATTACTTATACCATTCACTGAGTATCCAAGCTCACTCTCTCCTTATATATATATATGTGTCAAGCAAGAGGGCGGTGATGCCTAGATGTGTTTTGCAAGTTGTATTTGGATTCATGTTGCTAGCATCTTGAACATTATGCTTCTTAGCTTTGTATTTCATGTATTTTGTATATGTCGGCTTGAGAAGCCTTTTGATCAAGATGTAACATGTACCTTATTTTATTTGTATTCAAGTTGTAAAACTATGTTAAGATGTATGTCATTTCCTTTGATCTATGCACAGCTCTTATGGACTACTTAGATTTAACTTTATTGCTTCCGTACATGTAAGCCCCATTTGTATACTCTGATTGTGTGTGAATCTTTGTAAGTTGGCCTTTGGTAATCTCGGATTACTGACTATCACGGCACCATTCTACTAGGGGTGGAGTGGGGTCGTGACAATGCCCAGACTAAACTTGCCACTATAACCCATTTTGGAGGGTCAAAAACATTGACACAAAGCCCAGAGGTAAAAAAAATTGGCCCAAAGCCCAAGCCCAGCCAAGCAGGACGAATCAAGAGAAATGTCTAGATCATCGATAGGTCTGTCAGATAAAGAGACAGTGTCATGTAACCAAAGCCTGATTAAAATCACCTTCTAAAAGGAGATTTGCAAAATGCAGGGATGCCTTTAGATCCATTCATAATCAATGGTAAGGACATCAATTGTCAAAGATACACAAATGACACAACCATCCAATGAACTTAATTGGACGGAGGGAGTAATCGACAAGTTGACCACTAACACCTAACATAATCTAAGCCACACACAATAAGATGATTCAATGGTAAAGGATCAAAACAACCTGACCACTCGCTTGACCAAAGTCCAGTAGTAAGTAAAGCCCTTAGATTAAGATGCTAATCCAATGACTAAGGACTAAGACAATAACATTATAAAATGAGGAATAAGGAAAAGCGAAGGAGGTAACACAAAAGAAGAACAAGTCTTTCTTCTTAACCAAATACTATATGGCTCCTTCATTCTGACTTAACCATCAGAGGGTCCTCCTAACCATTCCTAGTCAGGAGTGATCACTGACGAGTTGGTTTCTCTTTGTAGAGTAAAGGAATGAGCACTTTATCTCGCTTTCCCTGTGGATAAAATCTCTACCTTCCACAATTGGCACTGTCTATGGAAAGGACGAAGAAGATAAGTACCCATCATTCTCTAGAAGAGATACCAAGCGATCATCAAAACGTATCGATCGGGAATATGGCCAATCTAAACTTCGGCCATGATTCTGAGGTGGCGCCCAACGACTCAGAAAAAATAATCCCCCCACCAAATGATGACAATCAACGAACTCAACTCTTAGATCAATTGGTGGCACAAGTCGAAACTCTCAAAGAAGAATTACGCTTGGCCTAATGTAAACCTAACGTCCAAGTAAAGATTGTTGATAATCGCATGAAGACTGGTCCATATGGAATTGCTAGCCAAATAGCCAGTAGCCACCTTGATTAGATGTAGAGAAAGTGTTAGGTCACCAGAAAGGAGGACTCCTAGGATTACCAGAAGAATGACTTGCGGAGCTAGCTTGATGGACGAACGAGGGAGGGGGAACCCTAAGCCCGTTCGAAGAAAGCTCTTCACAAAAAAACTAGCTCCACTATTCTCTCAAGCAATAGATAGTGCTGACCCACAGAAGACATTCATCTCCTCAAAATTCAACCTATACGTTGGTAAAGGGAATTTGACTAGCCACATTCAGCATTATACTCAAGCCATGACATTATGGAGCAATAATGGTCCAATCATGTGCCAAATGTTCTCTTCAAGCTTCAATGAAATGCCACTTCGATGGTTCTATAAACTAGAAACCCGATCAATCAATGACTGGAAGCAGTTGCAGCAAGTGTTCATCTCAAGCTTTATCACCAATAGTCAACTGCCGAAAGAAGTGGATGTACTCCTCACTACGAAAAAAGACATCATGGAGAGCCTACGAGAGTATAACAAAAGGTATTGGGCGGCATATAATGAGATTGATAACTGCAACGAAAAATTAGCAGTTACCTCATTCAAGTTAGGATTGCAGCCTACAAGTAAGCTCCGACAATCCTTAACAAAAAAGCAACCTACTGACGTGAGTAGTTTAATGAGGAAAATGGAACAACATTGCAAGATTAAAGACAACCTATGAAGGACCGAAGAGCCAAAACATGCTCCGCTCCTGCCAAGGGTTCTAAGAAAGGACGAGTGATTAAGGCCAATACATCATTGAGGCCGTTAATTAAAATCTCTTAATTTCACTTGTTGGTCAAACTGTATATTTTATGTGTGTTGAGTGTCAATCAGGTTGTACATCATTGGAGCATAAAATGAGCAAAAATACAGAATTTGGGTAGAGTTGACTTTCCCGCACGTGCATTGACTTTTTCTGGAAAAGTCAAACCGACGTTTTAAACCTGTTTGGATGAGATTGGAAGTATAAAAAGGCAAGTAAAAGGCTGGATTAGGGTTCGGAAGTTGTTTGGACCTAAAGAGAGAGGCTAGGGTTTGGAAAGGAAGAGAAACAAAAGCTCCAAGATATCTCCTATGGTGGTTCCTTCTCCTTCTACCTACTTCCACTCCTCCATGAGTGGCTAGTCTTCTTTTATAGGGTTTTGATGAAACCCTAGCCATGTAATTATGTAGTTTTCTTTTTGATTTTTAATTATGAAAAGGTTTGAACATTTGTATGGTGATTTAGAAGTTTGTTTTATATAATTTTCATTATTCTTTCGAATATTTGACTTTCTATGATTGTTAAATGTTATCCATACAATTGTTTTCTTTTCCTTCACATTCATGGTATGGGGCAAACCATACTACGAGGAACGAGTCGTATCACTACCTTAGTTTAGAGTGAACGGTTTGTGTATTACTTGAGATGGTTTGTGCTCGTACATTGAATGTGATGATCTTCTTGTTAAATGCTTTGAACTTGTAGTTGCGAAGCATTAATCCATTCAAACCATAGCATAATTGATTTCAATTGGAAACCCTAATTATGTGGTTAGTGGTGAATTCTCTACCCTAGGATTTTTTCCCAATTCAGTAAACCCAATTTCATTTATTATTGATAATTTAATTCCTTAGTTTAATTTACTCGTTATTAAATTAGGTTATAAACAACCAATCTTTTTATCAAAATTAATTTAGGAATTTGACAATTAAATTAGTTTAATTTCACAATAGTCCCTGTGGATCGATACCTGGACTTGCCATTATTCTGATTGAATTTGGTATAGTTTAGTATTTAATTTTGGTGTGTTCAACGACCCATCAAATTTTGGCGCCCTTGTATCCCGGTGTACCCCGCTGACTAGGAAAAGACCACATTCACATGCCCTTTTGGCACTTTTGCTTACAGGCGCATGCCCTTTGGGCTGTGTAATGCACCGGCGACCTTTCAACAGTGTATGATGGCCATTTTCTCCAACATGGTGGAGAAATTCTTAGAGGTTTTTATGGATGACTTTTCGATGTTTGGACCGTCTTTTGAGGAATGCCTTAGGAACTTGACTAGAGTGCTAGAACGATGTACTGAGGCAAACCTAATCTTGAGTTGGGAAAAGAGCCATTTTATGGTTCGTGAGGGTATAGTGTTGGGATACATTGTGTCCCCTCGAGGTATAGAAGTTGACAAGGCTAAGGTTGACCTCATTGCAGGCCTTCCTCCACCCAATTCCGTGCGTCAAATTAGGTCTTTCCTAGGGCATGCAGGTTTTTATCGTAGGTTCATCAAAGACTTTTGTAAGATATCATGTCCTTTGTGTAGTTTACTAGTTAAGGACGCGCCTTTTGTCTTTAATGAGGCATGCTTAAAGGCATTCGAAACACTAAGAATGGCCTTGACCACCGCCCCAATCATGAAATCACCAGATTGGTCTCTTCCCTTTGAAATCATGTGTGATGCCTCCGATTATGCTGTCGGGGCTGTGTTGGGCCAGAGGGTCAATAAGGCACCATTTGCTATATATTATGCTAGTCGCACTCTCTCGGATGCTCAATTGAACTACACTACTACCGAGAAAGAGTTGCTAGCTGTGGTCTTTGCCTTAGACAAATTCCGGTCTTATCTCCTCTTTTCCAAGGTCATAGTCTTCACTGATCATGCCGCTTTGCGGTATTTACTATCTAAGAAAGAGACCAAACCTAGGTTGATTAGATGGATTTTGTTGCTTCAGGAATTTGATTTAGAGATCCGTGATAAGAAAGGATCTGAGAATGTGGTGGCAGATCATCTCTCTCGAATCCTCGTTGAGTATAATAGCGACCCTCTTATTTTGCATGATTCGTTTCCAGACGAACAACTTTTTCAGCTATCACAAGCGAGCCCCCCGTGGTTTGTACATATTGTGAATTACTTGGCCATTGGGCAAACTCCGCAGAATTGGTCTAAGCAAGACAAAGACCGATTCTTTTCACAGGTCAGGTATTACTTTTGGGAGGATCCGGAGTTGTTTAATTATTGCTCCGACCAAGTGATCCGACGGTGTGTGCCGGAGAGTGAGGTGCATAGCATTCTTACATTTTTCCATTCTTCTGCATGTGGCGGTCATTTTAGTGGGCATAAAACGGCCGCTAAGATTTTACAAAGTGGGTTTTATTGGCCCACAATTTTTAAAGATGCCCATCAATTTTGTAGAACTTGTTTGCGCTGTCAGCAAATGGGTTCGATGTCTCGGCGTGACATGATGCCAATGTCCCCTATTCTTGTGGTAGAAATATTTGATGTTTGGGGAATTGATTTTATGGGCCCGTTCCCGTCGTCGTTCGGGTTTGAGTACATTCTCTTGGCAGTAGATTAAGTGTCTAAGTGGGTGGAGGCAATAGCTACCCGAACAAACGATCATAGAGTGGTAATCAAATTTTTGCATAAAAATATCTTTAGTCGTTTTGGGTTTCCTAGAGCCATAATAAGTGATCAGGTTTTAGGTAGGTTTAGTTAAATTATTTATGTCTAATTGTAAATAAAAATTGCACCAAACTATTTAATACAAGCTTTGCTTATTTGAGTTATTAAGGCCTCGTTTTGGATGTTCTTGTTTTAATTTAAAAGTCAAAAAGTTATTAAAAAAATTAAAAAGCCTATAACTTATATTAAAAAGTCAAAGATTTCATTTTATCTCTACTTTTTGTACATATTTTCGTAAAAAATTAAAAAATCATTCCAAACATTCTAGTTTTTTTTACCTCATATTTTAACTAAAAAACTAAAAAATTACTCTAATAACATATTCGCAAATGAGGCCGAAATGTTCTACACAACATCTATAAAAAAAGCCTAGGGGTGTAAATTGGGCCTGGCTCGACCCACTCGGGCTTTGGCCAAAAATGTTGGGCCTCATGGGCTCCAACCAAAATTCGGGCTGGGCCGGTCCACGAGCCAAAAAATTAAGCCCAGGCCCAGGCTCAAGCCCAGGGGTATTCGGGCCTTAGCGAGCTAGTGGGCCGGGCCTTGGGCCGACCCAATGGCTTGGGCCTGGCCTCGGGCTTGGGCAGGCCTAACAATTTTTTTGTTTTTTTAATTTTTTTTCTACCAAAATTTTATTATTTTTCATTAAAAAACACATTGGGCCGGGTGGGCTAGGCTTCGGGCCGGGCCCTAAGTGGGCCTTAAGTGGGCTAATGGGTTGAGCCTATGGGTCGGGCCGGACTTCAAAACAATGGCCCAAGCCCTAGCCCATGGGCTCGGGCTGAGCTCGGGCCTGGGCCCAAGCGGGCTTAAATGGGCTGGTCCATCTCGAGCCGCGAGCCATTTTTACACCTCTAATAAGAACTAAACAAGGAAAACTAACAAGGACCAAACTAAAATAATTGTGATAATGCAAACCAAACAGATGTCTAAACCAGCAATCCCTAGCAAACAAGCAAACATCAATCCTCATGCATGAGGTCATGAGCAGAGTAATGCAGATCAATATGCTTTTATCCATAATGATATTCTCAATTTTATCACATAACTCGTCTCAATTTGGCTGACAACTATTGAACACCAATTGGATTATTAATTCTATTTTCATCTTTTAGTTAAGAAATCAAAGCACATTAAAGTATTTACA